ATCTCCTTCAGTGTAGTTACGTCCATTCAAGTTATTGCCTTAAAAAACTCAATAGGCTACCAGTTAATCACAACCTGAGACCCGTGTTTAAACAATTCAGAAATGTTTTTATTCATACTGTCATGGAGACAGACCTTTTCACTTCACATATGTTTTATAAGAAATACCGAACTCTTCTTTCCAGCTCATTTGTTTCACTGGTGGGCACGGGAAAGCCCAGGTTTCTAAAGGCAGCACCAGGTATAATAACAAAGGACTTTCAGCGTCAGTCAGAGCTGGGTTTGAGTTCTGATTCTACCACTTGGGTCTGGGTCTGTTTCTCTTTCCATAAAGTGGGACAATACCATTACTCTGCAGGAGCTGGTTTAGAAAATTAGAGACATTTTTGCAAAGAGCCTGTCTGTACAGAGCAGGGATGCGCATTATTTTTCCAGCTTCTCATTTCTGCAGACCGCACTTCCTAGAGAAGCCGGGGCTTCACCACTCAGGAACGACAGACACTGCGCATCACGGAGCACACGGTTCCAAGTCCATAAAAGCTGCTTCCCTGCTCACTGGCCTTTTAAAGAACCAGGGAGCTCCGTCAGTATCCCTCGAGCACACTCACACTCTATGAACTACGGTAAACCAAAATACCCAGGTGCCCAAAACACAACCCTCGCACTCTTTAGTTCTTCTCCCTCCTGAGGGCTCCCTGGATAGCCAAGATGAGAACTTCAAAGCGATCCTCGCCGATGAAGAAGAAAACAAGGAACCCCTGCATCGACTACACGATGAACAGGGAACTCGCTTCGTCCCTTCCCTCCCTGTTGGTAAGACCAAATGCCCCGCGTTTGCAGTTCACGGGCTTTGACTCTAATAACGGTGTTTCCGAGTACGGCAGGAGCACACACCAGCTCTTAAGTCCCGTCGCAGCAATACAACTAAGGAATTTTTTCTGACTGTACTGAAACCCATATTACCTCAATTTAAATGATCCTAAGGAAAAGTCACTTCTAAGGAAACTCCACTGTGTTTCCACAATTTCCAGATTTACCTTTACGTCAGAATCCACCCCCACTACCAGCTTTTACCACTCCCATCTCAGAGTGCTCTTTAGTCACTGGAAAGGACTCGGAATAGGATGCTCCAAAGATACAAGGGACAATGAAACAGTAAGAACAGGAAGGCTAACGACATCCGGAAGTGCCCTCCTACCTGCACTAGGTGAGAGCAGAGAGTCTAACGTGGGGACCCCAGTAAGCTAAAACGGGTCTGGTAATGTGGCAAGGCTTAAAGTACACCAGAGGAACGCAGGCTCTTGGCTACCCCTTACACAGATCTCCAGATGGCTAAGACAAACCAAGAACGACAGAAGGACACGAGAGGCAAACACGGATGCTTCGCTTTAGGACTTCGCAAGACCTCCTCAAACAGTACCATCGGAGGACGAGAGCACACACCTAGGCTCTCAGGTGTAACACCAAAAATGTCCGCAGTAACCCGATCCGTTAGACACGCCACCTTTCAGTAATAAGATGCCATCTTTGTCATATTAATCACTCCTCCGCCCTACCTGCAAACTCAGAGCAGGCTCAGTCCAATAATTTATCTTCAGCGTACACATTCCAGAGGTTAAGACAAGCACTTGAGAAAGTGGGCTCTGGCCCAGAAACTATGTCCTACGGAGACAGAGATAAAAGCCTGCTGTAGAGAAGTGTGACCGATTCGCAAAATTCATTGCACACTAACTTTCAAAGACCTTTCAAGGACTTCCATCTCCAAGAGAATAACTGAATCAAGTAAACAAGAATTTCTGACCAAGCTTAACAGTGACAAAGTTTCTCTATTATATTCACAACATTAAGATTAGAAGTTTTCCGTATTACTGCAGAGCTAAGCCAAAATCACTGGCATCTGGCTCTGACATTAACATACACATGTCACCACCTCCACGTCTGTTGCCGATTTAATTCTTTCAGTTAGTTGCCTGGGTTCCAGATTGGGTGACAGTAAGTAGATTATCTTGGCTTACTGATAATTTGTTTTTAAAAAAGAAAAAGCTAATTCAATCTTAAAAACTAACTTTAAACACCAATGGTATGCAATAAAAAGCTCTCTGGATAACTCTGTTTTTTATAATCTGGACCATTCCTAGACAGGTTTAGAATAACTTTCCTGGGGCGCCTGCGTGGCTCGGTGGGTTGGGCCTCTGCCTTCGGCTCAGGTCATGATTCCAGGGTTCTGGGATCGAGCCCCGCATCGGGCTCTCTGCTCAGCGGCCAGCCTGCTTCCTCCTCTCTCTCTGCCTGTCTTTCTGCCTACTTGTGATCTCTGTCTGCCAAGTAAATAAATAAAATCTTTAAAAAAAAAAAAAAAAGAATAACTTTCCTATGGTAGAAACAATCCAGAAACAAATCTGTCTCCTGAAAACAAAGTTTCATTAGTCACCCCATGCTTTTAAAAGCCTGTAAACTCACCTGCTAGAACACAGGACCCAGAGTGTGAAAGCCTGAAGGTCTCAGTCAGCCACAACAGGGCGCACGTCTGCAGAACGTCTTCTCCTAGAGTCCTTTTGCTCTTGAAATGTCAGTATTGTTTTAAACTGGCAACAAAAACGCCACTTGCTTTTAGCTCTCTCTGAAGACAAGCTTCCGTCTTAGGTTGATTCTAGGCAACACTAAGGATCACAGCCCTGGGACTGATTCCTATGCTTTCCACAGACAGCTGAACAAAATGCCCTGTCAGGTTGGTGGCTGGAATTAAGGTCACAAGCAAACTGGCCTCCCACTTCAGCCATACTAGGAAATACTTCCTAACAAGATGTGACAATTCTTATGCAACGCTCTGAAATATAAAGCATCTTCAGAAGGTAAGAATTTTACAGTTGTGGCCGGGGATTAAGAATACTGGTTCACTGGATACAAAGATGTCACCTGGAGTTCAGAATGGGAAACCCCTGGGGGAGGAGGGATTCTTACCCAGCACACAGAGAAGAGCAAAGTTATGTCTCTTTCAACGTATGTCCTTTTCTCCTCCCAACCCCACTCCCCCAACACAGATCTCCAGATCTCATAAAAACACAAATAAAAAAAATGCGGTCTCGGCCCACCTCAAAACCCTCCATCCAAAAGTCGACTTTTCAACAGGGAGAGCTCAGACCCTGGATGGTGGTAATGAAAGCTGATCAACTCTAGTTTGATCATTGGCCTGAATGGATACAGTTGATTTCACTGCAGTATTATCAACACTTTGAATTTTCATCTGCCCTTACCTCCCCCAAAAAGATGTAGAAGAAAAGCCAACATGAGGTTAAAAAGCTGCATCTTTGCCATCATACTGCTAAGATGGTCCAGCTGCAGAGATCAAATAAAATGCTCTGCATTCCCTGCTGCCCGGCCCAGACTCACTCCCAAGAACAAGGAGACCGTCTCACGGTCTAGTCCTCTGATAATCTACTGATGAGGATCACTGCAGAGCCCGATAGCTCAGAAAAAATGTATTCTCTTCAAGGCAAAAAGGAAAAAGCATAACGGGGAGCTGGAGCAGAGGCGACGAACACCACGGAAACAGCAAGGGGAGGAACTACAATCCTTGTGTCAACGCTGATCACGTGCACTACCAGAGACCAGGAGGAAGGCAGCAACGAACTGAGGAAGGTACTGAAGTTTCGTCTGAGAATGCATTGAGAGATACACACACAGACGGACATGTAACATTTCCGCTGTCCTCGGACCTCGAACCCCCACCACACAGACCTCAATCGTGTTCAGACGACAACTGTAGGTGTGTACCCACAAAGCATGTATCTACGCTGACCAATTACAAATGATTTAAAGAAAAAAAAAAGAGGAAAACATGTTCGAAAGCAGAATGCAAAGAAGCGTAGACTAATGCATACCTTACTCAAACTCAAAGCCCCAGCAATGGTGTAAAGAAAACATTTTTTTTTAAATGTCCATCCTATGTTAGGCATTGAACGGCTTAACACAGGTTCCCTCATACAATACTAACAATGACCCCAGGAGGTAAGTGGCATTATCCCACTTTGAGAGATGTGGAAATTAAGAGTCAAAGTTTTAGTAGTTTGCCCAAGGTCACGGGGCCAATAAATCTTAGTATTTAAACTCAGGTCTGTCCAGCTGTCAAAGGCGAATTATCTTTTTATACCTTACTGATACACATACATGCCACCAATAATAATCTTATTCCAGTTCATTCTCTAATGAGGACACCACGAGGAACAAAACTTCCCAGTGTCACGCTCAGCCTTTACCGACTACCTGGCATGAAGGTATGAACAATCAGCCAGGCAGACCTTCCAGAGCCACTCAGCTCTCCTGTCACAGCCCATGGACGCCAACCACAGCACTATTCTCTGCTAGCAGAAACCTAAGAGTCCTACAAAAGTTACATTTACAAGAATGCTCGGACTCCCTCTTGGACCCTGGCCCGTGCTGCTAAATGCACGGGATGACTGCCCCACTCACCAAAAACTCTTCAGAACAAATATAAAAGAACAGCCGAATTTTTTTAACCCCCAATTTACTATGTCCTGAAAAGTTGGAATTCGGAGGTGGACTGAACTCAGACACCAACTGACGGCACCGTCACTTCCCAGCCTCACGAGCAGCTGGATTCACCCCTAACAGAAACAACAGTCCCAAACCCCGAGAAGGGAAGAGACTGGATCTGACAAGAGGCCAGAACTCGGGCAAGCGAGTTTCCAGCTTTTAACAGTGTAAGAATCACGACCCACCAAGAGGGAGAAACACGGACGTGTAGGCTTCACTGGGGTTATTTGAAGATACACAGCAATAGTTTAGGACAGAAAGTCAAGATGCCCACAGCCAGTAAAACTTGTCAAAGTAACTTAACCAGAGCTGGAACGCAGCCAACAACAATACCCCAACTCTGGGATCCTGTGGCAGGAATTTTAAGACTTCAGTGGTCAGCACTTGAGCATCAGCGTAGGGTCTGTCTTGGGTTCAGGAATTCAAATGCCTTCAACTCCTACTCACCTTTCCTTCTTTATCACTGAAGTAGGGCCAGGCTGAGCTCCTGAGAAAATAGGTCTCTTGATTCACTGAAGGGCTGAGAAAAGTTAAAGTTTAAATGGCAAAGTATCTCTACCGAACATCACAATAAAAATATTTAGGAATACATCTCAGAGTCCTTTTAGACCTCCTCAGAACGATTTAAAACCAGAGTAGCTCGAGCTACTGAACAAATAACCCACCCAGTTAACAGGAATAAAATGAACCAGGGAAGTCATCTCCCGGCTCCACCGACACGTAGAAAAGCCACCTAAAAGGAAAACCTGAAGCCTTCCGACGCTAACCCATAAGCAAACCTCTCCACAAGAAGCCACAGAGCAGGGGAAATCCCGGGGAGAATGTGATAGCGCTGGTGCCGGTTTGTTTACAGGACTCCAGCAACAATCATATGAGTCAGAAATTCAAGCCACCAGATGCTTTCCAACTAACAGGGAGCAAATGGTACGGTTCTGCGGTGCCCTGGAAGGTCTGCGGGTGAGGGGAAGCAAGCTGCCAGAATTGTATTACAAAGGGAACAAGAGCCGACGGCAACAACTGACTTGGACCTCGGCCTTCCGTACAAGGTGCCGGGCCCGAGAACTCGCGGTGGGGGAGGGGGCACACTGCGCGGTGGCCCCGAGGTGACGGGGAGACGCACCGCACCGCTTCCCCCGGTCTAAGGGGTAAAAACGCGCACACAAACGGGTCACCCCATGGAGCAAGACGTTCCTGAGGACTGCGGGGCAGGCTTTTGGGGGCAACCCCAGGGCTGACCTGAGGCAAGGGCAGCCAGTCTTCCCGGCGGAGACTCGGGTCAGGGCCAAGAACAGACCTGAGCCCCGGGAGCTCGGGAAAGGAATCCAACTTATCCTGACGGGGAGCGGGCCGGGGGCGAGGGGGTCAGGAGGCCAAGCCGGAACGAGACACGGACCGGATAGGTCAAGGGAGGGGGGGGTGTCCGGCTGGGGCAGTTACAAGCACGGGAGCCGGCGAGGCTCAGGAGCCCGCTTCCCGTCTTGGGTCATCCTTCTGCCAGCGGCTGCTCCGACTGTTCCAGGCCCAGCCGCCCCGTCCACTGCCGCCACCAACGCCGCCGCCATCTTACACTGGCCAGCGGCCGCCACCACCACCGCCTCCGCTCTCGGCGCCTGCGCCTGCGCCGCCACGCTTTCCGGCCCCGTTTGCGACGAGGTGCTGGAGGAGACTGAGGGAAGAGTGGTCGCGCGAGCTCACGGCTCCCAACCCTCCTCGGAGGACGCAGAAGGGGCGGGGCTTAGGACCAACGGAAAACAGAGCGAGGGGCGCGTGCGCACTCCCGGGAGACGGAGTTGCTCTCGCGGCGGGTTCCGGGGGTTCGCTTTCCTCGCGCTGGCAAAGCGGACGTGAGCTGGGGGCCTCCCCGAGTTGCGGTGGTGTGGTGGAAATAAACTTCGTTTCTGGCGGGGTGGCGGGCGACCTCCTGGGCGGCCTCCATTTTGCCCTGCTTTTCGATACTGGGAGCAGGCGGTTGTCGCTGGGTTTCCTCTGATAACCCCATTTCCTTTGAGGACCTTGTTTTCTTCAGTGTTTCTGCACCTTCGAGACCCGTTTCCCCTTAAGAGAGCTTCCATTCCCCCCTTTCCAGATTCAGAAAAGGGATTCGGAAGCTCAGGGTGCCGCGGAGCTCTTCCAGCGGCTGTTTGTCCGAAGGCGGGTGCTGGGCGGTGGGTTCCCCAGCATGGCCTTGGTGCTGTGCGCTCTGCTCGGTTCGGACGCCCGAAGGGAGCCTGCAGAGGTCTGGAAAGGCGACTGCCAGGAGCGGGGATTTGGACCGGCCTGGGTGCAAGCAGCTGACCCCTTTCACCTCCTCTATCGCTACCATGCTGTTATGTCATTATGTATTACTTAGACTGTCGCAATGGACACCTAGCTGGTTTGTCTGCTTCCACTATTTACCTGTCAGTTAGACAGAAGGCAGCCAGTGTGACCTTTTAACATGCAAGTCAGGTCATATTATTACCCCAAATCTTCCTCATCACACATTAAAAAAAAAAAAAAAAAATGATCACAATGGCTTCCAAAGAGGGCCTCACGTGTTGTTGCACCTGTTTCTCTGATTTCATCTCCTCCCATGCCGCCTGCCTCTGGCTTAGCCCCATTGGCTTTCTCTGCTCTTAACTCCAGCCAAAACAAGGCCCACCCTTAAGGCTTCTGCATTTGTTCCCCGTTTTTGGGATAGTCGCCTACCAGATCTTTACCAGACTGGCTCCCTCCACTCAGATCTCTACTGAAATCCTATTTCTGGGTGGCAGCTCTTGACTGTTCCAACGCAAATGGTATCACACGCTGCCATCCTTCTCTGTCCCCTAACCCTGCATTGTTTTTTCCTAACATTTTTTAAAAATCTGTGAACACCTAACCTATAATTATGTATCTGTAATCTAAGTATATTAATAGAATATAAGCTCTGTAACGGCAGGGACTTTATCTTTCTCATCGTTGTAACCCCAGCATCTAGAAGAGGACCAGAGCACAAAGTAGCTCTCTGATGCCTTACCACTCTATTCATTCTTTCATTCGCTCCGGCAACATCTGTTGAATTCCTGTAGCATGTAAGGCCCTGTTCTAGGTACTGGGGCTGAAGCAGTGAAAAAAACAAACCCAGGTGCCTGCATTCACAGAACTTATTTCTCAGTGCAGGGTTGGGAGTGTAAGGGGAAGACAGTGCCACACACACGAAAATATTAAGGTCATGGAGACTAGCTGCAAGTAAAGCAGGGTTCACCTGAGTAGATGTGCTCTTTCACAGAGGGGGTTCAGGGAAGTCCCTCTGCTGGGGTGACATTTGAATAAAGATTTGAAGTGAGAGAGTGAACCACATACACAGGGGAGAGAACCTTCCAGGCAGAGGGAACAATAAGGTAAAAAGACCTGAAGCTTGAGTGTGCTTGGTGTACCCAAAGAACAGCGGGGAAGCCAGCGTGGCCGAGGAGCAGGGAGGCAATTAATTAGTTTGGAGATACATGATGTGGGCTTTGGATTTTATCTCCAAAGAGTGCTAGAAAGCCATGAAGGATTCTGAGTAAAAAACTGACACGATCTGATTTATAAGTAAAGAGACTTACTCTGGTTGCTTGCTTCTTTGAAAACCGCCGAAGGGAAGCAAAACAGAAGCTGAAAGACCAGTTAGGAAGCTATTGCAAAAGATCTGCAAGACTAGTGTTGCATTGGACGTGGTAGAAAGTAGTTGGATTCAGGCCATACTTTGAAGGTGGCAGAGGTGATTTGCTAATAGTTTGAGTATGAAGTGCAAGATAAAGAGTCAAGCTATCTCAGGTTTTTTGACCTGAGTGACAGGGTAAGTAGTAATGCCATTTACTGAGATAGAACTCCAGGCAGGAGCGGGGGGAGCAGAAGGGTTGGTTGGTTTTTTGTTTTGTTTTGTTTTGGGTTTTTTTTGAAAAATGTCCAGTTCTATTTTAGACATGTTAAACTGGAGATGGCTTTAGATTTCCAAATGGAGCTACTGAGTAAACAATTGAAATATGAATCTGAGGTTCATAGGAGAAGACAATTGAGGGTATAAATGGCATATATAACCGTGGAGTGGGGAGTGCTTACTTGATGTGGAAGGAAAGTAGTCTCTATACAGGCTGAACCCTCTAATCCCAAGGAGTGCCAACTAGTAAAGGTCAGGGTGGGGAAAAAAAATCCAGCAAAATTTATTTAGAAGAAGCAACCAGGAAACATAATTTAAAACCTGAGAGTAAGGGGTCTTATAAAACACATTTCTTAAATGGTTCAAGAAGGACACTATCAACTGTCATTCTTGTTGAAGAGTTTGAGGTTAAGATGACTGGAAACTGACCACTGGATTGGGAAACACGGAGGTTAAGACTGCCAACAAGAGTGATGTTAGCGGAGCCACGGTTACTGTGCTTCGATGGACACCATTGCTCTTACCGCCAAATCTTATTTTGGGCTTTTCTATTGCGTTTGAGGTTGTGATGATCCTTGACCCCTTCTAAAAACTCAATCTCACAGACTTCCGTGACATGTATGTCACAGTTCGTTTATACCTCTTGACAGTTTGTTCCATGAGCTTCTCCTCGTCTTCACTCCACATGTACTTCCAAAGTGATCTTATTCATCTTATTCATTCTCACAGTTTAAACTACCATCCAGATCCCAAAGCCTTTACTGCCAATCCAGGCTTCTCCTTCAAGCTTTAGAATCACATACTTGATAGCCAATGGCATTTAAAAAAAAAAGAAAAACGCTTTATTAGAATGAAATTCACATACAATTCACGCATTTGAAGTGTGCCATTGAACAGCTTTTAGTACATTCACAGATATGTGCAACCATCACACTTTTCCACCATTTTTATCCTCTCAGAAAGAAATCCAGTACCCTGTGCTATTATCCCCTATCTTCCATCCCCCTCCAGCCCTAAGAAACCATCAAGTACTTTGAATCTATGGATTTCCCTCTTCTGGACTTCCTACATTTTTGTGTGTGATTGGTTTCTTTCACTTAGCAGGTCTTCAAAGTTCATCCATGTTGTATCATGTATCAGTGTTCCATTCCTTTTTATAACCAAATATTGTTCCATTGTATGAATATTCCACATCTCGTGTATCCCTTCATCTGCTGATGGACAGTTTGGTTGTTTCTTAAGACTATTATGAATAATGCTGCTATAAAAATTCATGGTCAAGTTTCTGTGTGGACACATACTTCATTTCTCTCAGATATACACCTGGAAGTGGAATTTCTGGATCATGTGGCTAATTCTAAGCTTAATCATTTGAGAAACTGTTTTTCAAAGCAATTGTACCATTTCACGTTCACACCAGCAGTGTATGAAGGTTCCAGTTTCTACCCATCCTGGCCAATATTTGATTATCTTTTTATTTCCAGCCATCCTAGCAGATGGGAAGTGGTATCTCACTGTGATTTTGGTTTGCACTTCCCTGATGACTAACAATGTCATGCATCTTTCATGTTTATTAGACATTTTCATCTTCTTTGAAGAAATGTCTAATCAGATCCTTTGCCCATTTTTAAATTGTCTATTTCTGAGTTTCAAGAATATATATTCTAGGGTGCCTGGGTGGCTCAGTGGGTTAAGCCTCTGCCTTCAGCTCAGGTCATGCTCTCAGGGTCCTGGGATTGAGCCTGGCATTGGCATTGGGCTCTCTGCTCAGCAGGGAGCTTGCTTCCCCTTCCCCCTCTGCCTGCCTCTCTGCCTACTTGTGATCTCTCTCTCTGTCAAATAAAAAAAATATATTCTAGATCCCAGTCCCTATCACGTGTATGATTTACAAATATTTTCTTCCATTCTGTGGGTTTTCATTTTTGATGGTGTCTTTTGAAGCGCAAAGCTTTCTAGTTTTGATTAAGTCCAATTTATCTTTTTTCTTCTGTTTTCCATGCTTTTGGTTCCGTATCTAAGAATCCCTAGCTAAGCCCAAAGTTATAACAGTTTTAACCCTGTTTTCTTCTAAGAGCTTTACTGTTTTGGTTACTATTTTTAGGTCTTTGGCCTATTTTAATTTTATCTAATGTGAGGTAAGGATTAAGCTCAATTCTTTTGGATGTGGCTAGCCAGTTGTCCCAGCACCACCGTTGAAAGAACTGCTCTTTCCCCACTAGATGGTTTTGGCACCCTTGTCAAAAATCGGTTGGCCACAGATGTATGTTTATTTCTGGACTCTTCATTCGATTCCATCAGTGTCTGTGTCTCTCCTTGTGCCAATAGCACATTGTGTTGATTACCATTGCTTTGTAGTAAGTTTTGAAATCAAGAAGTGTGAGTCCTTCTTTTTCAGGACTGTTTTCTTCTGAGTCCACCACAATTTCATGTGATTTTTAGAATTACCTAGTCAATTCCCACAAAGAAGTCGGTTGGGACTCTGATAGGGACAGCACTGAGTGCTCAGATCATTTGGGAGTGCTGCCGTCTTGGTGATGTTAAGTATTCTGCTCCATGAACATGAGATACCTCTCCATTTATTTAGATCTCCCTTGTTTCAACAATGTTTTGTATTTTTCACAGTATAGGTTT